AGAAAGTTGGGCCTTTCTAACTGGCTTACAGATCAGTTTGGCCAATAGAGCAAGGGATCCCGCTAGCAGGTGAAACACATCACCATTTCAAAGCCAGCTGCAGCCTGTTTGAGGGAGATGGGCACGATCTGTCTCTGCAACTGGCACAACTTTGTGTTTACTTAATGCACAAAGGCTGTTATTGCTGTCTCTTTAAATACCCTTCATTCAATCAGTTGATCATTTTGCTTTTGGAGTACTATTACTGTTTTTAAATTAAAGACACATTTTTCTAGGAACCCACATGGAAAACAGCAAGCAAACACACCCCCAGTACACTCAGAAAACTTGTATTCAAAAGCAGTATTTAGACTCTAATCAGCAAGTTTTCCTGCTTCCAGTGCTTAAAGTGATATAAAACAAACCAGGACCAAAAATCAAGAGCTGTAAACTTCTAACAGTTGAGTCTAAATTCAGGATCCCAAAGCATAGGCTCATGATGCCTTTTCCAAAGGCACTCACAGCCATGTTTCTCCAGCAACTGGCATTTCATATTATTTTCCAGGTTTACTCAAAGGCAGAGGAGTGCTGTTTTCCAAACCTGGAAGGACAGACTAATGCTGTTGAACAAGAGCAATTTTCTTTACTATTCTGTAAATCTTAGACATAAATGGGTGGTTATGGGCTTAATAACATATACACATGCTCCTGCAAAACTGAAGAGCACCAACAACATTTCCTTTTCTTTGAGTGGTCACTAGACAAATTGAATGTTTACTTTTGTGATAAGGCTGCAGAGACGTTTTCCCCCATGCCTTCTAAACAAGATCAGTAGTAGGATATATGTGTTTTTACAGAAAAGGAAGTATTTGCATTCTGGTCACCTTAACAGTTTGTTTTCATTCACCAGAGTAAATTCACTACTCAGAGAAGAGGGCTCCAAGTCTTCCATGCTTCCTTTTGAAGTCTTGTGTCAGGTATGTGGCCATAAGGAAATGCCCACATCACAGGGCAGAGGGACTGTGCCTGCTCTGTGGGGCAAGAGCTCAGTAGACTCACACGGGGGTAACAGCAAAGTCTGAGCTAGAAGTATAGTGTGTAGTTATACCAGTAGGCCCACAGTACCCAGGGTATCACCTGAGATTAGACCTTCCCTGCACTAAATGCATACAAGAGATAATTCATGCTACTAAGGGAAGTCAATACAAATATGCAAAGTAGGGCAGCAGGGAAGTACTCCTGTAGCTATTTTACAGAGAATGAACTGAAGCACTTTAATGAATTTGCTCAAAAATTGACAAGGAAAGCCTACAGCAGAGGGGCAGAATCATAGAATTGTTTAGGTTGGAAAACACCTTTAAAATCATCAAGTCCAACCATTACCCTAGCACTGCCAAGTCCACCACTAAGCCATGTGCCTAAGCACCACATCTACATGTCCTTCAAATACCTCCAGGGATGGGGACTCCAGCACCTCTCTGGGCAGCCTGTGCCAATGCTTGACTACTCCTTCCATGAAGAAATTTCTCCTAATATCCAATCTAAATCTCCCCTGACACAGCTTGAGCCCATTTCCTCTTGTCCTATTGCTAGCTACTTGGGAGAAGAGACCAGCATCCACATCACTACAACCTCCTTTCAGGCAGCTGTAGAGAGCGATAAGGTCTCCCCTCAGCCTCCTCTTCTCCAGGCTAAACAACCCCAGTTCCCTCAGCTGCTCCTCATAAGGCCTGTGCTCCAGACCCTTCACCAGCCTTGTTGCCATTCTCTGAACATGCTCCAGCACCTCAATGTTTTTCTTGTGTTGAGGGGCCCAACACTGAACACAGTATTCAAGGTGCGGCTCCACCAGTGCCATGTATAGGGGGACAATCACCTCCCTGCTCCTGCTGGCCACACTATTCCTGATAAAAGCCAGGATGCTGTTGGCCTTCTTGGCCCCCTGGGCACACTGCTGGCTCATGTTCAGCTGGCTATCAACAAATACCCCCAGGTCCTTTTCAGCCAGGCAGCTTTCCAGCCACTCTTACCCCCCAGAGAAGCCAGCTCTCCTGCATCCTAATCCAGTGTACTGTTTACAGGATCATCCTTCATACTCCTAAAAGTGATTCAGTTGCTTGCTGAGGACAGAAGCCAGTGAGGGCAACTGACTGAACTGAGTTAAACTTAGCAAGAGAAAACCCAGAATTAGTTCATCCTGGAAGTGATCAAAAGAGAGAGAAGTGGCAGTCCTTAAGTCCAGCCTTTCAACTCCACGTATTTATAAAACAATCTTTTTAGCTAATGGTTACCTAATAACCTTGCACGAATTCCCGCCACAGTTAGCAGAGGATCCCCAGTCCACTCGGACAGGAAAGACACCAAATTTTGAGACTGGCAATCCCAAGCAGCACAACCCGCTGAATGGCTCTGTAACCTCAAAGGGAGCCACCACCTTGGAGGGCAGATCTTGTCACCACACTGCTGTCTCCTTTGGATGGAGCCACACTTATTGGTCTGCACAGCAGCCCACAGGAACCACCCTGGACACCTGCCGCCAAGGCTGTGAGGGCAACAGCAGAGGGTCTTAACACTCCACGTAGAAACAGGAGGACGGTATGTCCAGGTGGATACCATTAAAGAACAGGTTATGTCCCATGAACAGGAGACCCCAGCAGTCTAACAGTAGTACACTAAAAACTCAGTGTGGTAGTCTTCAATACTGCTGTGTTTCCGTGCTAGCAGCCTGAATGAAATCTGAGTGTACCAGCTAATAATCTTAAAACTACACAGAGAAGCATAATCAGTGCACATGGCAAGTAAGCATATTTCTGTCACTGTGCTTCTTATAAAGAGCCTCCAAATCAATGCAGCAGTAAGAAAACTTACTTATTGCTACACACCAGTTTTGCAAACCCACCCATACTATTTTCCTTACTCCACTGTCTCAGATTGAATAATCTTTCAAAAGCTATTAATCAGCTTTCATTATTTCTAAATTGCTTTTTGCTTGCTTGTAATTAAGGACTAATATCCAAAGAGTTAGGAATTTATAAGGTAATTAACCATAATGAGTAACTGTTCTAAAATATGATCAACTGCTGGATATCAACAGAAGTCTTAGTTTTTCCCAACAAACTTTTTTCCCATGTATTTAAACAAGCACAAAAATGAAGATTTATTTAGCAGAGGTTGAACATTTACCAGAAAATACTATACGTGCCTATTCTTTCTCTGGAAGACAGCTAGCTATAGACAAAAATATCTGCAAACTAGCAATTACTGCGGATTCAGAAGGTTTTAAGGTGACAGCAACATGATGAAAGATCTATTTTTATGCGTGTGATGTATATTTCAAGTTCAGAGAGAGGAACCCAGAAAGAAAGGGAGCATATGCATGCTGTAATCAGCTCATGTACAGGACAAGATTCTGCTCAGTGTTTGTAAATATCACCACATAATATACCTTTATTTTCCTTGTTCTTCCATACAATTATATGTCGGTCAAGCAACACTAAAAAACTTTTTGAGTCGGTCAATATCATATAAAGTATTGCCCAGGTTAGAATATCAAACCAAACTAGTGAACTGGATCCAAGGTTATATACAGTAAATGAGATTCTTTTTAAGCCACTCCAGCATAATACCAAAAAGGTTTAGTTATGTTAATGATACCCATTTTTCCTAAGAAAAATTATTCACTTATTTTACATATTTCCCTACA